TTATAATGGTCATCAAATAGGGGTTTAAATGGTGACACCAATTATTTTTTCTTTTCTTGATTATGCTTTAAAGTTGAAGCATTGGCATTCTTGAGACGCCACAGAGATGGAGATTGATTGAGGACCATACACGTGGCATGAGTTGCACCATTCATATCTTTCAGGATTGATTGAACTTTTAATCAAGTGTGTACCATATTGGTCGAATAGATGTCAAAATCTAGCACGAATGACAATCATGCCATAAGTATGGAAGATTTTGACATACAAATACATGACAAAGATTCATTGGAGAATGGGGAAAAAAAAAATTGACGAATCAGGTGTTGCCACGACAACATCTATAGAAATTCTATAAAAGATACTGGGTACTCGGAACCTTTTCCCACAAACATAACTATTTTGGGACATTTCTTAAAATGTCTATTCCGCTGTTTAGAATGACAATAACATGTAAATATCAAATTAAGAAAATGTTTATTTTATTAAAAATAAAATATTAATATATACATTTCTCTTCTCTTTATATTTTAGTTATATAAGATAATTCGACTTTTTTTTTTTGTAATATCTTTAGAACTTGTACCCCGCAACGGGAATGAAAAAAAAATAATAATAATAAAAAAAATAAAATCGTTACTTCAAGTATACAAACTGTATAAAAATACATCAAAACATGCACTAGTATAACATTGACAATTTACTTTTTTTTATTTTTATTCTCAAAAGAGCACAATTAACAGACCATCAAACAATTGCAATCTCAACTTTAAATTTTACTGTCATCTATTGATTGAAAGTCTCGTGTGGTGTGTGTTTAAATGTAAACATATGTGACTTGTACATAATGCGTCGTGTGTTATCTTAAACATTATATTAACTTTATGCCAATTTGATATCGGAATTATGTCTCAGAATCGAGCAAGAATGTGTTGTGCGTCATTTCTTCATTCATACAAGTACAAGTTTTTTTTTTGGTCTCACTACGACTACTTAGTTTGATTTGGTCGTTTTGTCCCACCACGACTCTCTTTCACCTCGGTTAATGCACTTAGCTCGATGATGCTAGATTAGGGGACTCGGCATATGATGATGTTGAAGACTCCAACCTTGTAATCTCCAAAAGGCAACTTGACATTAAAATGTGTTCACAGAAATAAGGTTTCAATTTTTAAATGGATTTTCGATTGAGCAAATTGATCAACAGTTGATTCTGTCCTTATCAAGAATGGCCCCATTAATGTATCCAAAAATATCTACGAATTCTATCTATAAAAAAATATTGTGAATATTGCATCGGTAGTCCCCGAACTATTGTTTATTTAGTAATTGATCCTCAACTTTTTTTATATAGTGCACTACTTAATATAGTATTCGATGGCAGGAATGGATCAAATATCAATTAAATCGTCACTTGGGCAAATATCAATTTCATAAAGTTTGTATGTGAATACAATTAATTATTTAATGAAGATACGAAAGGTCTTCGTCGTTGGAAAATATCTGTGCAAGTAACGTAAAAGGTTGAAAGCCAACTTGCCACTTGAACAATAAGTTGGATATACTGCAAGTGCAATTTTTTCTAAATTATTTTATCATAGCTTTATAGTCCTCTTTCTAGCCTTCTCAACACCCCCAATACCCCACATGTTTATTTTCAAATGGCATGATTAGGGCAGCTTAATTACTCGAAAACATGTTAACCGAAGGGTAAATATGTCTTTTCAATTGACCCACGACGACATTTGTCGTAGTCTAAATTACTTTTACTGTAGTATTTTTATATATCACACTTCTAAAAAAAAAAAGGTTGAACCCCCCACACTTCTAAGGTTGATGGGACCTCGTCGGAGGAGGTCTAAGGTCATTATAGCCAATTGATTGTTGTAAGCGCCCAAAGCCAATAAGTCATTTGTCTTTTTTCGCTTTTCTTTTCTTTTACACTAAAAAATAATTTAGCTCCAGTTTAACTTTCTTTATTACAAAATTCTTTATTTTTCATATTTATTTTCAATTATAACACCATAAAATATTTTGCACGTAAATTTAATTTTTTTTCTATTTTTTAATCGTATATTCTCTAAAAATTATTATTTAAAATATTTTTTTTTCCAATTTGTCTTTAGAATGGCAATCAAATAGGGATTTAACTGGTGATGCCAGTTGTTTTGTCTTTTCTTGATTATGCTTTAAAGTTGAAGCATTGGCATTCTCGAGACGCCATAAAGATGGAGACCGATCCAGGACCATACGTGTGGCATGAGTTGCACCATTCATATCTTCCAGGCAGTGTTCTAAAAGACGTAATG